AATGGCTGGCTCACTGCTGCCAACTAGTGGTCAGAGGCTGAACTAAAACATAAAATGAACGGCTGGCAGGAAAGTTAAACCTTAATAAAAAAAATCGATACAGGGCTTTAGAATATTGATACAGTATCGGGAAATGAAATATCGYGATATTTCAGTGTATCGATATTTTCTTACACCCCTACTGAACACAAACTTTATCAGCAGGTCATTAAATAAATGTGGTCGTTTTATTTTACTCTATGATTATATGTATATATTATATAACCATAAACTACGGGACATAACCTGTGCTGACTGGACAAAACATCGATACCAGTAAAATAGATCTACACAGTTCTGCCTAGTGGTAGTAGTAGTAAAGGTAATTTTACTGTTGTACATCGTATTTACAACCTCCCATACTATTACCCTAACATGACAACATGACCTTGTGTGTCTGTCTGCTRCATCTCATTTTTATAACCATCCATGGATGTTCCTGATAAGACTCAATGCACCTGTGCAGTGCACAATAAGTCACATTATGTCCAATCCATTCACACAGATCAATGTGTTGTACCTCCCAGATAGACTGAATTTAATTGAGGTTGGACGGGAAGTATGAATAATACCATTCTGATAGCCTACTGTTTTGTTCACAATCAATCACACCTGACAAATCCTGTAATCCTCAGAAGCAGATGTATGTAGCCTCGTATGACAATGATCGTGGCAGAGATATATGAAGCTGAAAAAGGTACTGTATCCTAAATGTATCAACATTAACTTTTTAATAAAACATTATAGTCATTATGGTCTTAGAGAAATGTTGTTTAGGGAGGTCACCTTCCAATAAATGTTGTTTTGGAAAATGTAACCACTTTTACGTTTTTCTTTTAATACTGAAGTACATTTTATGTCAGAAATTTACTTTTGGTTCTTAAGTACAAAAAAATCAGATACTTTAAGACTTCAACTCAAGTAATATCCATTGAAGAGACTTTTACTTTTACCAAAGTAATTTTATGATAAGGTACTTGTACTTTTGCTCAAGTATCACTTTGAGGTACTAGGCTGGTTTTGATGGGGGAATGACATTAATACATGATAGAAAACTGCAATCTTTTAATATCAAGAAGGACATTTTAACACTGGTTTATAAATCATTGAATCCATTATCACCTTCAACATTTTATCCTGGTACAACTTCCTCACTGTGAAACACAGAAACAAACAGTTACGAATCAAAAACCAGGCCAGCAAAATAATCGGTTCAGCTCAAACCTCTCTTTCTGAACTGCATAACCCCTCTGTGATGAGGAAGCCCACCCTGATCACAGAGGACCCCTCTCATCCCCTCCATCACTCATTCCAGCTGCTCCCGTCAGGCAGAAGGTTCAAAGTTCCTCTGGCCCGTAAAGCAATATACAAAAAGTCATTTATTCCTCTTGCAATATCCACTCTGAATACTTTTAAATAATAACTGTATTGTAATTTACTTCAACAGTTGCTTTTAACAGTCCCTTTTATGTGTTTTAATGTGTTTTTATGGGTATTTGAGTGTTTTACGCAAGTATGCTGTTGTTGGAGCCCTGTCAAAGGAAAATTTCTGTCACCACATGGGACRGACAATAAAGCTATTCTATTCTATTCTATTCTATTCTATTCTATTCTATTCTATTCTATTCTGCCCCAAAAACTTAATTTGCACAATACTCCCAGATTAAAGATGAAGCTTT